AACCTTGACAATTTTAAGGCATGTGGACTTCAACTCCCAGAATTCCACAGCCAGCATTGCTGGCTGTGGAATTCTGGGAGTTGAAGTCCACATGCCTTAAAATTGTCAAGGTTGAGAAACACTGATTTAGACATCTTCAAGCAAGCTTTTAACCAGCTAATATTCCACAAAAGGGCTAGATGCAGGGGTAGGGAACCTTGGCTCTTTTATGACTTGTGGACTTCAATACCCAGAATTCCTGAACCAGCCATGCTAACTCAGGAATTCTGGGAATTGAAGTCCAAAATCATAAAAGAGCCAAGGTTCCCTACCCTGGGCTAGAGGAAGCACTGCAGGTAACCAGGACAGGAGATGAAAATAACATTGAGTCACTCCTTGAAAGGCAGCTCTATCCTCAACTCCCAAATGGCCAAGTATTTAGGGTCAGTTATCACCTGTGCTTGTATCCATCCTGAGTGAAGTGAACTATAAAAGTTAATGCAAAAAGTACAGGGAAATTAATTTCTTAAATTAATGAGATTAATGTGTTTATTGATGTATTTTTGGAACCCATTATATTTATATGATTTATTATTCTGGGTTTTTTTTTAGTTCAGGCTGCCTCTTTATGTATGTTTAATTGTTTTTATTGTTTTCTGGATTTTATAAGCTGCCTAGAGTCTAATGGTGTGGGCAGCTATAACAAATTTAGTAAATTAAGTTTCCTGGCAATTATTTGGCTGAATTCTAATTGAAAAAGTATAAGGTAAATTTAAGTAATTAAAAAGCCTCCAAAGCCTCCAACTACAAGCCTCTTCAAAAATGTAGTCTGGTTTTATACCAAACAAAGGATGTGTAGACAGATGTTTGCTCTTCAAAAAAAACCTTGAAATATGTTTTAATGTGAGAAATGATAAATTGTATTGCTCTAGAAAAAGCATATAATCAAGGGGCTATGTTTGACTTGGAAAATATTTTGTACAAACTTGGACTTCAAGATTAGTTGCTGAATGTAATGCTTTGAAGTAAATAGAAGTATGTGTCAGAATAAAGGGGTTGTTTACCAAGTGGTTTATAATTGAGCAGGGAGTAAGGCAAAGATATGTGATATCTTGTTTGCTTAAGGTGTTTATTAATAAATATATAAAGGATACTTGTGGTGACAATAGGTATTGGTTGAGAACATTAATGTAGATATACTTTTATATGGAAACAAAACAACATTGCTGGCTGAGACCCCAAATTGTTTGTAGTGAAATGGATAGATGTAATGGTATAATGGGGTAAGAATCTGAAAATAAATGTATCACAGATCAGAATAGTTGTGAGAAAATGTAAGATTGCAAAGATGAATTTGTGTACCCCAGAAGAATATTTACTAAGCATAGAAAATTAATGGGAAAAATTAAAATGTGCACATGCTGGTAGAAAAATAATACATAATAGTGTATGTGATCTATTGCAAGGAATGAATACTTGCCAAAAGAAGTGAAAGTGGCTATGTATAAGAGTATATTTCTACTCACTTGTTAAAAAGAAGTAAAACTTGCAACA